ACGTTTTGAGGTTTTTTGTGTAAAAACTGACGTTTTTTACCTTCCCAGTAATTTTTCTCTGTTACTAAATCTAGTAAGTAGAACTGATCTTGAATTATTTTCATAATAAATCTTATATTAACGATATCAAACCAGTTTACAATGAATTTTAAATGTGCTCTGTAGAAATGACATTTTAATATACCTTTCGTACATATGTACCTTTGCATACAATAAAAGTTTAATAAGAACAATTCTGGGTGCATACATTTGAAAAAGACATTTTTGGGTAGGAAATGACGTTTTTTCAGACCAAGAGGGACGTTTTCTCATGTCGAAGACCTGGCAACGCTGATTGTTAGTGCGCCCTAACAGTACAAAAGGAACAACAACTTTTCGTACCTGTTTTGGAAGTGGGTATCGCTACCCGTTCATAGTAGGTTGAAAACTTAAAAAATCAAAAGTTTGAAATTTGTTAAGTAGTGTTTTTATTAATATATTACTTATTATTTATTTCATATTGAAAAATTTAAATCAAAAATAAAAGAAAAATACAGTCTTCATTGAATTCATTGCTAATTATAACATAAAAAATAAGAAAATTACGACTAGATATTATTCATCTGGTGTATCTTCGAAGAGAGGTAAAGTTTCTATAGCTGTGTCAAGATAGCTTGGGTTCAGTTTTACCAACAAAATATTTTCGAGTGTCTCCTGACTAAGCTGATTACGGTAATCAGTAAGAACCAGCCTTAGTGTTGAAAATGCTCGCTCAATTGTGACCTGTTAAAAACGAAATTTTTAAAGCCTTAGTGAATATGTACTCGTACATAGATATGTACATCAGGGTGGCCACTATTTCCTAAGCTGTTTTTTTTCTCGCCCTCTCAATTTTAAGTTTCTGTATAGATAATTGTTCAATGGAAAAAGGGTCCTAAATTTCAAATTATCACAATCCAATCATGTCAAATTTTCCAAATAACATTGTCTGAGATTTGTGGACTCTGCTTTTAATACTTTTGAGCAGCAGGAAAAAAACAACTTGGGAAATAATGATGAAAACGTTATATTAACCTGAGTTGGCGGGACTGCAAAACAAACATTACTTAATTCGTACAATTCTGGGTCAGTGTACTGCTTTGCCTTCCAAAATTTTAGCACATCGTCAATTCTTTGGAAAGGCAGTTGGAGATGCTCAATTCGTGCATACGCGTCGAACGTATTGTTGATTTCGGCTTGGGTTCCTTGTACTAAATATTGATACATGAGTTCATCTTCTTCATCAAAAAAGTTGCCGGCCGGTGTGGAAGCAGAAGTTGGCGCGGAGTATAAGGGTCCAATAGGATTATTTTCATGGATTCTGTCCCAAATTGTTTTTAAATGAAGAGTAGCTTCGGTTTTTTGCTGTGCAGTTAAAGTATGTTGAAAGCGAGGGTCCAGAAACAAGCACGAAATTAAAAATTTATTATTAAATAACGTTATTGTTCGTGTTTCTATTGATTTTAAAATCATGTTCCCAATTGTTGTTATTAGCTCCTGACTTGAATCGCTTACGATTTTTTCGGTGCTTATTTTTAGTTTAAGCCACTGTGCGTAAAAGTTTCCGTAGTGTAATTGCTCCTCTTGAAACTTTGTTATAGTTTTTTGCAAGGGATGGGAAACTGTGCAATAACATTCAATGAAATCCCAAAACAACGTATCCACTTCGAAGTTTTCATCCTCAGATTTATTTTTAATAGATTCGATTTTAGTTAACATATGCTTTGCTGCTAATAAATCCTGCAACATAGTATACGTGGATCCCCATCTCGTAGGGCAATCTAGTTGGGGCATTTTCAATCCTTTTAACTGAAATATTTCGCGATAGCCATTTGACGTTTTTCTGATGTATTTTGTAAGATTACGACAATTCCATAGGTATTTCAGCATGCCAGACGATTTTGCAACGTCAAGAGCGACCAGCTGGGTTGTATGTGCTGCACATCGGCAAACTTGTATATTTCCTATTAGCACGTTTGGCACTTTTTCTACAAGTTCAATTTTTTTTAAATATTCATCGTTAGTGCAGAATTCGTCGTTTTCTTCAGCATCCTCTTCAGAAATAAATGATAAAATGTTTGTCGCTCTCAGCATGTTTGCACCGTTATCAGATGTTATTGAGACGATTTGGGTTAAATTAATGTTGTATCGCTTTAGCACATTCAACACTTCAATGGCAAGATTTTTGGCTGTGCTTGATCCAGCTCCTTTCAATTCTATCATTCCCAAAATAATAGATTTAATTCGTACCGCACTAATAAATTGAGCACTTACACCAAATATATTTCTGGACAGCCTTGTAGCACTGTCTATTTTCAATGATAACAGTTTGTTTTTCACTTCATTGGTGATTTCCAATTTTATGTTATTCGCAACCATAAACAATGTTTTTTTGCAGTTTGATGCATTCAGCGTAATTTTTTTTCCGTCCGACACTCTAAGGCCATCGCAAAACGAATCTATGAAATTTCTTATGTTTGGTGAATTCAAAATATTGAACGGAATGCAGTCCTCCGTTACCAATCCGATATATGACCTTATCAATTGTTTTTTATTCACCTCAATTTTAATTTTCTTTTTTCGAATTATTTTACCAGCACTTTTAGATGAAATTGACGACTCCGGTGGTTCAAACTGTTCATTACTTGCTTCATTCAAATTAATTTTGTGCAATTTAATTAAATGCGCTTTTAAATTAGACACTCGATTATTCCTAAGCTTGTTTTTGCACGTTTTACACGTAGCTAAACCCATGTCTGCGTTGTTTTCGAAATACATCCAAATTTCGTTTTTAGCTGCCATAGTAAAATTTATATGTTGCTGAACCAAATGAAACTAAATGCTAACTACAAACCAAAAACGTACAGAACTCGCAAATAACGGTTGTGACCAGAGTACGAAAACAACCCGAACGGGTAGAGATACCAATTTCCAAAACACTAACAATACACAATGGGTTTCAATTGCAGCTGAGTACAAACCAAATGAATTTTTTGGTCTTTTACGGATATTTCTATGCATTAATTGTCGTTTTTTCCATAACTGACCACATCGTTAACAATGCAGAAATTATGCATACCTAAACCAGGATAGGCATAAACTTGGAGTTCGAGCGAGCGAGCGTACTCGTGCTCAATGCCTCGCAGGTAACAAGGCGCTCGCAGCTTTCTTTCATGTATAAGTTTAAATTTTTTAAGAAATTATTGAATATTAAAAATATTATACCTATTTACATAGCTATGTATGCACATATGTATGTACCTACCTAGTAGATGGTCAAAATAGCACGCATCTATTCTTCTGTACATGAGAACATATCTATACATACACAAATAAATACATACATTTGTGGATATATGTATATATATACATATCTGCATGTGTATATACAATCCTTTATTCGAAATTCTTAGTTGATGCAATTTTTATCCCATAAATTTTTGCTGACCAAACAACCCGTTTGCCTGCCTAATCTCTCTCCTCTCCTAATCTCCTAAACTAAAAAACTCCTTTTAAACATAAAACAATAGATCCTAACCACATCATTAAAAATCCAGAAAATAATACATATACATGTATGTATGTACATGTGTTATGGTATTACCAAATGACCTGTGTGCACAAACATAAATAAATATATCTGTGTACATATGTATGTATGTATGTAGAATGTAAGCTAAGGTTTTTTAACCGAGATTCTTTTTAACGCATACTTTGTTATCGAAATAACGCAGTGTGCAATGCAGTTTTGCCTGATTTTCACAAACATATGTACATATGTACATATGTATGTATGTAGATACATTAAGGCAAAATTAACCACTTGTTCTAAATATGACGCATATATGTATTAAAAAGAGTTTAGTTTGTGAAAATAGTTAAATTTAAATATGTGTATATGAACATATGTATGTATATATGTATGCGTACATGGAATAAAGAAATTTGAGCAAAAATTAGCGAAATGTTCATAAAAATTTTAAATCTTTTTTAGGGTATGGAATTTTGTGGTATAAGAAATTTTAGTACAATAAAATGCAAGTTTGAAGTAGCTAGGTTGATTTTTGGCAATTTCTTGTTCGAGAATTTTTTTGTATGGAGAAACTGAGCAACGCTTTCAACAAAAAGAATTGCCAAAATTCAACTGTATTTTTCGAACACTTCGCAAGTGTCAACAGTAATTTGCGAGCTCTGAAGAAATCATAAGCAAACACAAAATACCAATTGACTGTCGTTGCTGCCCGCTTGCAGAAGCTAGAAATTTCTCATTTTTCGACTGCGACTGCCGACAACTTGCAAAAGCAAAGATATTGCTTATTCATCGACTTGCGCCGCTGACCAAAATCAGAATGAAATCAAAATGAAAATTTTCAAACCAACGACTGCCAGCAGCTCTGCGCATTTTGTCGGCAATCAGTT